CCCCAAAACCCCAAAACCCCAAAACCCCAAAACCCCTAAATGATTGATTAGTGCTGAAACCAATATGAATATTTCCAATTATTAGATAAGTTATCCCAAACTGGTCCATTATAATTTTTGTATTAATTAAAAAATTAGAGAGGAGTTCCAAAATCAAATAAGATAAGAAATTCTAAACTTCGGACAATATTATTAAGACTCTTATCTTTGAAGTTTCGTACTGTTGTTTGAGTTAGAGGATGCCTTTATACTGAGTAAACCTGCCTTGTAGAGATCTCAGCAAAGTAAATGGACAAAATATAAGAAAACTTAGTTAATATTGAAACGTTCACCATTTTACTAATCGAATTTTCCAAAATTTGGCTTGCGAGCGCCTTTAATATGAAAAATAAGGCATGTGATAAAATGAGTTTTGGCATCGTATTTTCAGCTGAATTAATACTCTTTGAAATTTTGGTTAAGATTATAGTACTTAGTCGTAAAGAAAATGAAGAGGGCTCTTAGAATTAAGCCAAAATGCAAACTTTATAGATCATGCATAACTAATCTCAAGCAAGAGTATTTGTCCTTAATTAAATCATGTGTCAACATTAATTTAGAAATCTTCCTAAAATTCGAAATTTTCTGAAATATTTAAACTGTTGATTACTTCCCTTTTGCTTTGGGTTTCAAGAGTGAGAAATGCTCTTCTAAAGATTATTTCTTCTAAACTTAGCATCAATAGGATTGGAAAAATATTATTAATAAATCTGAACTAGTCTAGTCTAGACTCCAGAGAAGTTTTGGTGAGCCTTTTATTGCACTCTTTCTTAACTAATTCTTTGAAATTTCATACGAAAATTTCCGAATGATTGTTGATGAATATTCCTTTAAACATGGTTTTTACAGCTTCTTGTCTTTAAATTGATGCTCAAATTGTGCTTTAAATAGACCAGAAAGCACGATTAGGGAACAAGAAAAGTTTAGTGCTCCAGTTTATAATTAGAAATCCCAAGATTCTTTAAGCCCTTCCCTGCATCTAGCTTCTCAGGATTAATAGTTCTTTAGTTTTCTGTCTTTTGGCAATATTCTGCCATGATGGCCTTTTGGGCAAGTACCTATTCTTAGTTCAAGACTCTTCAACAAAAATTCATGAAGTTTTGGTGAACCTAATTTCATCCTAGGTGCAATTGAAGCCTGAATTATTCGTGATAAGTCTGAGTATTCTCATTAATATTTTTAGTTTCTCAAGACTTGGCTATTGTTTGTCATAAGCTGAACTTCACAGCTTATAAAAATATTAGAACTTTATTGTGTTTTAGTTGATTTTGAATATTATTTACAGTAAAAGATAAGAAACTTCGATATCTAATTATTATAAATGAATCGGATCTTAATTTCACATTAAGCTAGGAGCTCTTATTAACCAATATTAGCATAATTCTTCTCTATTATACCCTGAAAGGCCACACCACTCCAAAAATGACATTTTAGTAAATATATCAAGAATTTATAAAAAACTATTGCAAAGTTTAATGAGTTCTAAATTTCTTAAATTTTCAAAAGAATTAATCTCTGACTATTTGCAGTGACTTTTGTCAATAATTTATAAATAGAGTGATTCATGTGATTAGTTAAAATTTATACAACCTGGTGAAAATGGAGCTAAATTATTTTAGATCTTTTCCTTTACAGAAATTAGCCATGATGTATTCCCGATACAAATCTTATAACTATCGAGCCTCATCTGAATGCATATATCGCTGATTTGATAAGAAGGCCTGGCAAACTCTGCGATTGATTTGATTTGCCTAATTTTTTATTAAGGCTTCACCATACAGCTCATAAATCAATCAAATTAATATGGAGAGGAAATGCATTTTTATGATTTCAGACTATGAAATTTTCATTGCTTTTGGATAGGACATGACTGTTAGCATGACTGAAAGCTAATTTATTGCTTTTATGGCTTTTACTATAAGTGGGGAATGTACAATAAGTTTCCTAACCTCAGTTTCAGGGGCAAAAAGATTAAATAATAGCTCATGAATAAGACTGTATAGTCAAATAACACAAAACCCAACCTTGATTGCCTCATAGAGCTCTGAAGGCAACATTTAAAGATACAAAGATGAAGCAAATTTGAGCATATAAGATATTTTATATAAATTATAGAGCAAGGATTGCTAGTTATTCTGCACTGAATATGTCTTTCATCGTTACTACAGCTTCTTCAGATATGCTGGGCTCTTTTAAGATGTAGTTCCTACTAGGGGTTGGCATTGGAGTGCTCTTAAGTCTGATTGATTGTTGCAGAAGGCTTTTTATCTCTGTCTGCAACTTTGATAGACGACGACATCCTTTTGGCTCATAAGACTTTGATGGGCTCTCTTTTTCACCTTCTTCCATTACACTTTTATGTGAGAAGTTAAAGTTTTCAAAGTCCTCATTTACTGACAATCACTTAAGCTTATTAAAAGGAAGTGCAGAAAGTTGTTTTGTCCTGATTTTCCTGCTGAATGGATTGTGCTCCATATTCTTATGAAGCCCATCAGAGACATTGATACTAGAGGCAGAAGCGTTCTCATCTAGCAAGTCTTCAGACAAGTTTTCGCCAAAATGCATTTGAGAATTCATATTTATTAATTAATTATGATATCAAGAACAATACTCTTATATGGGGTTTTGGGGTTTTGGGGTTTTGGGGTTTTGGGG